AAAGAAAACAGTTAAAATAGATGTTTTGCTGAAGAAACTTAACTGCCTGTGCCCACTGGCAGTTGGGAAATTGCATGAATGTGCCCAGCTGACAATTGTCCCTGAGAAAAATTGCAATAAGGACCAGAGGAAATGTAACTCTTTGGTGCCTATGCAGCCAGACTGAACTCCAGCCCAGTGTAAGAACACAGGTAATGACCACTTAACGCTCATGAGACTTTCTTCATTGCCCTTTTTCATTTGCACTTATTAAGCCCAGTGTAAAGATGCTGCAACGGGTTGTAAGTGACCCCGTAAGGGTGACCCCAGCAGCCCTCAGCAAGGAGACCCATTTGCCTGAAGACAACATGCTTTTGCTTTGTACAGGCAGGACCACCATCCTTCTAATCCCTCCCTGCCTGAGACCAGCTCATCCAACGAGCGAGTCTTTGAAATTTCAACCCCCTGCAAAAGGCTTTGCAACTTAACCTTGCCTTTGTATGGCAAACGATAAAGAAGGTTTGAACTATCTTGCGAGAGGCATTTGTGAAAACACATGAATTCAAGACAGGCAATGATTCTTTCCCATGTGTAGATTCAAGTTTAACACACTTGGAATAAAGTCTTAAATAGCATTTAGTGCCCTACATTTTTGGGTAACAATGTGCTATACAGACCTTCAAGGGATTTTTTTTTTTTGGTATACACTTTTTATATTTTCCCTATTTTAATTATTAATTTTTAAATTTACAAAACAAAAAATTTCAAAGTAGTAGCATCAATTCCCATACATTCCTCATCTCACTTTCCCTATCAACATCTCATACAAATTTATCATAATAAACAAAGCACATATTTAAACAAAATCCAACCTAAGTCTATTTCTTTCTTTTCTTTTTTTACAGGAAAGTGGGTAAGACTATTATTTCCACATTTTCTAAGTCTATTTCTGATTCAATCTTACTTCTTGAAACAAATGTTTAAAAAAAAAATCAAATGTGTCTCATTTTCATGATGACAGAATTATTTGGTATACGCCTGGCTGTCTCTTTTGCTTTTATCTATTTTCATCCACTTGAAGGATTTAAAAAAAAAATTCCACGAAGGATTTTTTTAAATCTTCAAAATTGTACGTCTCTAGCAAGGCAAACATATCAGAGTTGCAGCATGCTATACTAGATTTGTCATTTTTTAAAAGATAGCTGATTCATAGCGGAATTTTGGGTCACAAAATACAAAGTGACAATCGGCTCGGGCTACACCGGCCTCTTCCCTGCCCCTGCCCCTGGCATTCACACTCACTCTTCCTGCTGCCTGGATCGCTCTGACCCCAAATAGCCACAAGCCTCGCTTGGGTCTCTGCTCAAATGTCACCCTTCCCAAGCAAAGCCTGCCTTGGCAATCTCATCAGAAATAGCACCACTCCGCCCCAATGCAACGCTTCACTTCCGTTCAGGACCTGTAGCTGTTACAGCTTATCATCAGCCTCCTGTTTTACAGGGCCAACTCTACTGGGAACCAGGAATTCATCTCTTTGTTCACAGGTGCCACACCCTGTGGCCTGCTGAGATGACTTCAACGAACACTCCACCAGCGTTGGTAAAAGGGGCCTTCATAAGTTCATGAAAAAATGCACATCAAGGGCAGACTCTACAGATTTCCAAGATAAAACTTCTCTCTGAATTCCACTTTCCCCACAAGCTTTCTGAAGTGCTCTTGTACCCTCTATTCATGGGCCGTACTGCTGTGACTCTCAGGGTCACAGCCTGCTCCCTCTGGGACACTCCAGGGGTCAGGGACACGAGTCAGATGGCCACCTCCAAGGGCCTTCTTCATAAAGGAGTGTTACCCTTCTGTCCACCTTGACCGCAATAACAATGGCTTGTCTCAAATGCAGGCAGTAGCTTTCCAAACTTAATCACCCCTCTGAACAGACTCTTACCATGCTCATGTGGGATAAGTGGAATGACTCTCCCATAGGAGAAAAAACACACAGAGAAAGAACCTTTAGCAAACCAACAATCTAACTGGAGCCCCCTCATCTCTCTGGGGAACAGTTCTCTTCAGGTATACACATGAACAACAACCATCATGGAGAGAGTTCTGGTGAGGATTTGATGCAAGGCTCTTTAGCTAGAAGCAAGAATGTGAAGTGAAGGTGCACAGACAGAAGAGTAAATGTACCCCAGCTTTGTGGTTCTTTCTGGAGTCTTACAGAACAAATGTCATCCCTATTACGTTAGCTAGTTTCTCTGAGAGTCAACACTCTAACTTCAAGTTAGCAACAGAGTGCAGTCAAATCCTAGAGGTAACGGAAGCATAAAGGAGATGACAGAGCTGACGTGCTTACTCCAGCGTCTAACCCACAGCGAAGGGCTCCCCGTTGTTAGCTGTTGTTTTAACTCTGGCTTGTATAGCTTTCATAGCCAAGGTCATCTTGGTGGTGATTCGATTTGATGAGCTAACAAAAGCTCGGGCTCTGGGTTCAATCTGCTGGTGACCCAATGCTGTATCTAGGGGTGACACACATCCTTGATGCTTAATCCTCCTTAATCCTCTCACCTGCCAAGTAGGATGACAGCTAATCCCCTCCACCGTAAACCTGATGTGGTGGCTGGAATGCAATGGTGTTTTTGAAGATCCGTACCTGGCAGATGCTCAGTTCCACCCTGGAGATGGGGGCACTGAGTGGTGGCTTTACTGAGCAGGTGTGAAAAGAGCAAGCCCAGGTCGAGAGGGATTCTGTTCCCAGGATGTTGTCAGGAGACCCACACTCAAAATTGAATAGTTAACTGCAGATGCCATAGAGCCAGACTGCCTGGGTCAGAATCCTGAAACGTCTGAGACATGTGGCTTCAGTTCTCTCAGCTAGAAAGAGATCATACTAGGACACATCAGAGAGCTGTCATGAGGCTTAAAACTGTTAGCCCTGATCCTCACACACAGTAGGCAATATGACAAATCTTTGGAAACAAATGTGAGCTCACGAGTCCAACGGCCGGAAGGTCTAAAGAGCATGGTGCTGGCACATACATCACAGTGAGAAGCAGAAGGGGACGGGCCACATGCAGAAAGACACACCTGGGGCGGTGTTACTTGGTAAAGCTCCTTGTCCTGAGAACTCCCTCCTGTGATACAGCACGAATCCGTTCTCAAGGATGGAACCCCCATGACTTAATTATCTTCCACTTCTTAGAGGTTCCCTAATGTCCACACTGGGCACAGCCAAACTTCCAGCAATTCCAGGAACTTTGAGAACAAACTACGTCCAAACCATAGCTTGATATGAACTGTACCACCAGGGGATGAAGCAAGAGATGATGAAAAGTTGCTCTTTCTAAAAGCATTCCAATTGGTAATTGAAAAAGAAATAACAGAATTAGGGTAGCTGCCAATGAATGGATGAATCCAGGCAAGGAGTGCCTGTTGCTGCCAACATGAGCCACAGAGAAAGAACGCACCACCATCTACATGCTTGCCTTGGGGTTGAAGCTGAGCCTCTCCAAGCCTTTAAGTCCAGCTGTCCCTTTGTAGCAGGCCCAGAGATCAGATCCCCAAGACTGTACGGGCAGCAAAACCCAAAACGTGAAGACACTACAGGTCAAACAGGCTGGCATCTTGAGCAGATAAAAGAATGGAATGGATTGAGAGATAACCACATCCTAAACACTCATAAGACACAACAAATGAGATGTAAACCAGGAGGGTGCTTCAAAATATTCATAGCAAATGGAACTGAAGATTTATTCTGGGGCAAACAATTCTGAAATCCACCTCTTAAAATTTTTTTTCCATGATTCCCTAAAGAGGTCTCATATAGGGTCTGATGTGGTGACTTAACAGGCAAATCCTCCACCTGCAAGCACAAACTAGGTGCCAGCTCATGTCTTGGCTCCTCCACTTCCAATTCAGCTCCCTGCTAATGGCCTAGGAATGCCATGGAGGATGGTCCAAAACCTTGACACCCTGCACTCACATAGTAGACCTGGAAGAGACACCAAGCTTTAGATTGGCTCAGCTCCAGTTGTTTCAGTCATTTCAGGAATAAACCAGTGGATAGAAGAGCTTTCTGTTTCTTTTTCTCTGTGTAAATCTGTTCTTCCAATAAAAAAAAAAATGAATCTTTTAAAAAATAAATTTATTTTGAAACGTCTTGTGATAAAATAGACGTATCTTTTAACTCCTGTTCCGTGGACCTTCTGAAGTACCCTCATTCAGTTACTTCCCATCTCACCTAGGGTTGGGCTCTGAAATCAACATGTAGATTCAGAGCTAGCGAGGGTCTAACTTAATCTTGGAAAACCCCTGCAGGGCATTTTGAAGTCCCTAGATTTTGATTCTTAGAAGCCCTAAAGAGGAGGTATCACTGTGCCCTGGGGCTCCAGCCTCTTCTCAGCAGGGAGGTCAAGGTTTAACATGAAGAAGGAGAAAGTGAAGGAATGCCTGCAGGGGTTTCCAGCCCTCCCAGCTGACTACAGCTAGTACAAGCACGGCCCCTTGCCTCCCTGACAGCCGCAGCTCTTCTGACGCGGAGCTCACTTGTCCCTGTCTAGCACACCATGTCCCCTCCCTGCCCGTCCTTTGAGGGCTGGGTTGTCAAGTGTGCCAAGCCCCTCGTCAAGGACGCCCATGCAAGGGCCTCAGGCGACCTGCAGAGATGTGCTCGAGTGTGCACATATCCAAAGGATCTGAAGGGTTGAACCGTGCAGAGAGAGGCTCGATGTGGGAGCCCCTGTCCCCAAGTCACCCTTGGCTGTCAGAGATAGACTCGGCTCTATGGTTTATACCACCAACTGCCTGAGCTGCTTTATCCCAGTGGAGCCAGCACCTGCCTGGGGAAAGCCCATCCCAGTAGCCACTTTGAGAATCTTCACTGACTTTCCTGGCCTGGCATCTTTCTGTTTCTAGAATGGGAAGGTCCAGGTGTCTCTTTTGAGGTGCTGTTACTGAGACTGATCAAAGCCTGGTGCAAGCCTGGAGGTGTTGCCGCCGCCCTCCCCCACCTTCACCCCCAATGTTACCATGGTCTGGAAGCAGGAGTGCAGCTGGGTCAGGAATGGTGGCTTTCCGGGCAGGGCCAGCACCCGCTTCTCCACCATGGTGCACTCCACATCGTCATCTTGGATCACCACATCCTTCTTGAGGATCTTCACTGCATAGAGCTCATCTGTGCCCTTCCGCTCTGACAGCATCACCTGGGGGAGATGGAGAGAGAGTGTGTAAGGGCCTTAGGGCAGTTAGAAAGCCTTGGGTGTTATGTGTGGGGCAGGGAAGAAGACATAAGTACCTGGTGTTCATCCACACCCAAGGCCAACTCTATCCAGGTGCCTTCTGCAGGCTCTCAATCAACAAATGACAAGTCACTGGTAGAATCCAATCAATAGAAGGTGGTGCTCCGGCACAGACCATCAAGCACGGATCTCTTTGGGATCCGTACTGAGCCATGCTCAGCCCTAGAACATACGCCTCATGAGGACAAGGGTCGCTGCTCGCTTTGTTCACTGCCACAACCCTAGAGCCTACAATAGTGCGTGCCACACAGCAGATGTTCACGAAGTATTTGTTAAATGAAGCAATGAGCCAATGCCTGATGAAACAGCTTGGAGGACGCTTGCTCCTCTAATGATTTAATGTTCATGGAGAGCCTACTAAACTCTGGGGAAACAGCAAAAAGGAAAAAAATAAAGACTTAGCAGGCAGGTACCTTCTCTGACCCTGAACTCTAGAGAGGAAGACAGATTCAGACAATTAATTACAAGGATGATTCATGCAATATTGTAATAGCCTTTCTGCTTCCCTTGGGGCCTCCTTCCCTCAACAGTGGTCACAATCAGAGCCAGTTAACCGAAGTGACTCATGGAGACATCATTATTTTCATCCGTGGTGACTGCCCGAGCAAACGACGACCACAGGCACATCTCCAGAAACCAAATCAAGGCGAGACCTAAGCTGGGCTGGGGGCTTCAGGAAGAGCTTCCTGGAGAAGAAAACCTTCTGACTAAAGTGTTTATTCTGCGTGCACAGAGTCACTTTGCAGACAGTAATATTAATCACCGCTATGCGCTGGAGCACTTAGCGATGTACCAACCAGTGATGGATTTTTGCTTGTTATTTCCCATTTCCTCTGTTTGCGACCCTATGAAAGTGGTTCTGCTATGAATCCAAAATGTACCGTTATGAATCTATTGTGCAGGAAGCTGACATTCAAGAGGCCAAATCATCAGCCGTGCCGCAGGTTTGGTTTGAGACACAACTAGGATGCGAACTCAGGTCTGTGTGAGTGGTTCCTGCTTCTGGGGGCGCGGACAGTGTTTGATCCAGGAGTAAGGATGCTGCTTGGGGCTCCCACATTACCACAGTAGAGTGCCTGGATTTGAATCCAGGTTCTGCTACCTACTCTGGCTTCCCGTTAACACACGTCACAGGAGGCAGCTAATGGCTCAGGTGGTTGGCTTCCTGCCACCCACATGGGAGACCCAGAGTGAGTTCCTGGATTTGGCTAGGCCATGTCCTGGTTCTCATTCTCTCTATCTTTCTACCTTCTCCTTATCTCTGTTTCACCACCAAATAACATCCCTGATCCTACACTCTCCCCTTGGGCACTTGAAGAAACCTAGTAAGACCCTCTCAGCCGCCACAGCAGCACAAGCTGAGAGGCAGGGGGCAGCTCCCATCCAGAAGCTTCTGAGCTGAACATAGAAGCCCCACTCTGTGCCCACTAGCTACCATATAGCCCCCAGCTCTTGCTCCCTAGCTGCTTCTTCCTCACCACAGCCAGTGGTGCCTACGGACCAGCAGATCCGGGAATTGAAGGCACTTTAGGAAGAAGGCATTTGACATACAAACAGTCCTGCAGTAGCAGAATCCTTCTCAACCTCTTGGCTCCCCCAGCCGCAGACTGAAAAGGCAAGAGCTGCCCAGGCAGAGCGGGCCTTTGCCATGTCCTCAGAACAGACTCCCAGCTCAGGGGCATCGTGGGGCTCTGAGTGGGACAGTCTGTGCCTTCGGCTCCCTTCGCCCTCCCTCTGATCTCTCCGCTTCTATGCCCTGCTGCTTTTACCTTCCCCTGCTGTTGCCAAAAGCCACTGTCCTAAAACAGGAAGAGCCAAAAGATTTCTTGCACCCCCTGGCTCCAGAGAAAACTGGGATGGGGCAGGTGCATGGGGAGAGGCAGGGCGAGCAGAGGTGCAGGACTCTTCCATCACAAGAAGTGCAGCCCAAGGCTGAGCTGTGGACACCCTCCCTGGCCCATCCCCAGAGACAGGACACCACCCAGCCACCCTGACTCTCATAGTCCCAGTTCCCTGGACCAGAATGGAGGACCTACATACCCTGAGTGTGAATGTAGTCATGACAGGTCACAGCAGCTTTTTGCATGGAAGCAAAACTTGACCGGATAGCTGCAAATTCCCCCCTGCACCAGCCATAAGGGTGAACAGCCTATAACATCTCAATTATACCCACTTCACAGGTAAACAAACTGAGGCCCACAGAGGCTAATTTGTCTGAGCTATGCCTGTGGCCTGAATGCCCATCTATAGCTCCCAGAAGCCCAACAATTCCATGACCAAATCCTTCTCTTTCTTTCCCTTTGAACATTCTATGTTCACAGCTTGAGACATCCTTCCACACTCTTCCACTGCCTAACCAATAATCTGCTTAGACCGATCAGCCACTAACTCCTCTAGGAACCAGGTCTGTCTTGGGTAGGTGTCAATTACATTGGCGTAGGTTTTCCCAAACTTCAGTCATTCCTGTTCCTAGTTTATAATTTTTCTCTCTCACCACGTAAACTGTTATTTGCTGAGTATTTTAAAGATCTAGTCACATTTCCACTTAACTCAAGTTATTTGAAAATTTTACATCATCACTAAGCATGGCTTGTTACTAATGGTGTGATAGTCACAGAAACATGGAAAAGCAGAGTGGAGCTAGGAAATTCTAGCTAGGGAGTGCTGCTTGCCTCAGGGGCTTAACCAGGCCCTGGGCTTTCTCCCTCAAAGGAAAAACTGACATGAACAAATGTTAGCATAGTGTCATGACATGAGAGTTTTCTTCTTCAAGTCACTGGAAAGGAATAGACAAAATACAGAGGGGCTGGCACTGAGGCATAGTGAAATAGGATGTTGACTTTGAGCCCAGCCTCCTTATAAGGGTGCCAGTGTGACTTCCCGTTGTGTGACTTCCAAGCCAGCTCCCTACTAATCCTTAGCCCGGGAGAGCAGTAGTGCTTAGGTCTCTGCCCCCATGTGGCAGACTTGGAAGAAGCACCTGGTTTCTGGCTTCAGCCTGCCCCAGCCCTGATCTCTGTGGCCATATGGGGTGTGAGCCAGCAGATGGGAGATCTCTCTGTCTCTTCCCCTTCCCCTGCCCATAACTCTTTTAAATAAATAACCACCCCCCCCTCGATGGAAAGAAAACACAAAGGGAGAATGATCTCTTTTTTATGTCAGTCTGTCACCCCCAAACAGTCTCTGGTACCAACTGAAATTATTTCCTATATGGTTACATCTGTACAGTTTTCTGAAATGAGCAGAGACGTGTGACCGTTCCAGGGCTTGACCCTGTCCGAAGCAACACGGAATAGAAAGCAGACGCCAGCAGCACCAGAGAGCACGTGGGACATCGTGGGAGCAGAGGGCAAATGGCCAGCAGCGTTTGGGACACTGTCCTAGGGACAGAGGAAAACAAGGCTGACACAGGAAACACCAGCAATATCCTGGAAAGAAAACAGAACCGAATTCTGGCACAGGATTTCGTGCAAAGAGTCAGTCAATCCTGAAAGCTTGGTGGCACAGCACTGGTATCAGCCTCAGGGTAAGAACCCTTAGCTGAGTCTCACGCTGGCGCTCAAAGAAATTCAGAGTTTGGCACATTTCTGATTAGAGGCATTCAAATCAGTACTAAACTCTGCTAGCGTATTGAGAAAACAGCCAGACGCAGTACAAAAACATGAATGAGGGCAGTTATGATCTAATAAAACTGTACTGACAAAAATTAGCAGGGGCCAAATATCTGTAGTTTGCTAACCCCGGCGGGGGGGGGGGGAGGAGTAATTCCACAATTAGAAAGTGGTTTCAGTTTAATGTAGAAATGTACTCTTGCATGTCTTTCATTTCCACCTACTCTGTTATTAGAAGAATCTTCTAATCAAGCAATGGGCACCCTTGGCCACAGCTGATTGGATCACAGGTAGATACTCAGCCCAAACTAAGCCAATCAGATTCTCTCTTTTAAAGAATTTAGAATTAGGGTACCATGATGGCTCAAATATTAATCCCCACCCCTGCAATTACCAGTATCCCATATCGGTATCAGTTCAAGTCCTGACGGCTCCACTTCCCAACCAGCTCCCTGTTTATGGCCTGGACAAACAGTCGAGGATGGTCCAAAGCCTTGGGACCCTGCACCCATGTGGGAGACCCAGAAGAAGCTCCTGGTCTCAGATCGATGTGGCCATTTGGGGAGTGAGCCAGCAGATGGAGGATCTTTCTGTTTCTCCTTCTCTCTTAAATCTGTCTTTCCAATAAAAATAAACAAATCTTTAAGGAAAAAAGAGAATTAGGAATTGGGGTTTTTAAGTGTCAGCCCTGGGTCCGTGAACAACACAGAGAGATGCGCCTGGCATGGTCCTTGCCTATCACATGCACCCACATCTGTGCCCTCCTGCCTCACCCAGCTCCACACCTGTCCTTGAGTAGTGAGTGGGGTATTACAGGAGTGCTTCTTTATGCTCAGTGAAATAAGCCAATCTCCAAAGGACAGACATCATATGTTCTCTCTGCTCTAAGGCGACCTTCATGCAAAATACAAGATCAGTAGATACACAGGTAGACATGCATATACATACAGTCACCTGAAGGAACTTGTAACAGACTATCATATCTAAGAGTGAAGACACATTGCAACATGCATCTCTACTCCTGAATAAAAGATGTATTCCCAGTGAAACTCTTGAATACATCTTGACAATAGAATGATGGACGTTTTGCCATTGTCTATACCTGCAATGTCAGGATACACTTAAATGGCTGGACTTATGACTGTCCTTGAAGGACTATACTATTGTAATCATACAGCGGGAAATCAGTGCAGGGATGGGAATTGGAAAGGAGAAGGGGAATCCCTGAGCCTATGGAACTGTAGCATAAAAAAGAAATACATTAAAAAAAAATCTACTCCTGATCCAAGTCTG